TGAAACCGTAGTTATCCTTAAAAAAAAATGTTTACCATAATTTGATGAGTTTGGCTACTCAGTAAGTGATCATCATAATCCTAAAAATAATCATAGTTGAAAGATATCAATATTTTCAAAAAGGAGATCTATTAACAGAAATGCATTAACAGTTTCACTTTCAAAAATGCATAATTAAGTATAATTCGAATAATTGAAATGCGTATAACATTTTAACGGTAGTACATAATTCAAAAGATTTTACAAAATACCCTACTGACGTCCCAAGTAGGTCACCTATATACCCCATCAGTGTCCTGATGGGTCCACTTAATCCCTATTAGAATTCCAAATAGGTCCACTTAATCCCTGCAGGTCCACTTATACGTCACCGACGTATTGGATGAGTCCACTTAATCCCTACCGGTGTACCGGATAGGTCCACTTATACCTCACTGGCGAACCGGATGAGTGCACTTGCATACTTAAAGTATTTCTAAATCTCTTTAAACATTTGAAAGCAGCAATATCATGTACTCAACATGTCACTGAAATTATTAATATGAATTTCACTGAAACCATTAGTAACAGTCACTTTCAATAACATTTCAAAAATAACCAGTCAAATATTTTTGGCTCAAATTTAAAAAGGTAGCAGTTCGTAAAGACATTCTAGTATAATTGCCAATCTAATATGTATAGAAAAACTTTTATAGAAATCCAAGAATACGGAATTATCACAATTTATGGGATGTCAATTTGCAAATAAACATTCCACAGACAATGCGATAATCAAATGCAAAAATATCATTTTTCAAATAATAAGGCAGTCATTTGCACATGAATTTTACAATGTCTAAATATTCAAAAACAGTAGAAAGAAATCTCACAATTTTACTAAAAGCAGAAATATCACATTTATTTCTAATAATTTTACAGTATCTAAAATTTTCTAACAATAGACAAGAAAAATAAATAAATTTATTTCTAAGAATTTATAGCATTTAAAATTTTTAACATAGATAAAATATCATGACTTTATTAAAAAGAATATTTTTTAAAATAATGAGGTCGCTTGCACATAAAATTTGTCGTGCCTAAAATTCATAATAATAAGCAGAAGTAATTATTTCATTTCATTTTTAAAAAGAACGGATTATTTTTCAAGATAATAAAATCACTTACTTAAAATATTTTAGTATGAGCTTCCGATAAAACTTCGGCTAGAGAGAGGAGCTCACTGTGTTTGTAAGAGGCAGAGCGAAAAAGGAGTTGTTAGACGACGTCTTATCTTTTGTCCTATTTAATTTCTTTAAAACGCCTCTATCTCATGTATGAGGTGTCGCGTAATCGACCGCCTTCAACACCTGAAAACCAAGTCCACTAAGCTTAAACCAAATGAAGGTAAAAGCTTTTGAAAGTAGTGATGGTCCCTAAGGACCATCATGCTCATATGGACCATCACTTCTTAAAAATTTCTTTTTTTTTTCTTCTTTTTTTTTTGTTATGAAAGTTTAGGATTGTTACAACTAATTTCTCTCTCTCATCTCCATGAACCTCATAAGTAAGTTTAAAGAGGCATTACAAACTCCATTTTTATGATGAGATTATTAGAAAAATAAAAAAGGGTACGTTTTGTAACTTAGACAATGAAAAAGGGGGATACACGACGTTTTTCCAAAATTTAACTATCTAAAAAATTTCAGTTTCCCTCAAAGGTACAAAACCCCATGTTGTTCTGTGCTCCTAGCTGCAATTTAGATGCTGAAAGTTTCACATATTCTATCTCTAGAAGTTAACTATTCTCACAAAAGTTTCGTAAACTTATAGATAAGCAAAGAATGTATTTTGAGTACGTTCACATAGAGTTCACATCAAGTTTATGTAATTAACAAAGGAAATAAAATTCACAATAGAAGTTATTGCTACTTTCTATATTCCTAGAGTATTTGGCATGTCAAAGTAACATAAGAAATAG